TCGGCAGCTGCGATGTCAAGCGCCGCGTGGGCACAGGTCCAGCTCTGTGCTCCGTCTCCCGCGCGCCCACCACAGGCTGATCGAACGCCCTTTGCGCACGATGGGAGAGCGCATGAACGAGAGACGTCTTCAGGTTTATGCTGATAATTTTTGATGATTGTAATGTTATGATTTTTTGCACACATAGTTTGTGTTCAAACGATCTTTTTCTCTGATTACGAGGTGACAAAAGCATTCTCGCTGCTTACGTTTCTTATCATCTTTTGTCCGAACATCAGTGATGCGCCAGCAAAGTAATAGTTTAAAAACACACGTACATTGCACGACTTGCACGACTTGACGCGGGGTTGCACGACTATCTTCTTGATAAAAAAAACGAGCTGGTCACTTGCTCTTCGTGCTGATTTCCCAAATAACATGGGACCAGACACGACAATATATCCAAAGCTTCTGCGATGTCCCGTAGTATGTATTTAGTTATGTAGTATTGTTCTTTTTCGTGGGTCACACGTGGGCAAATATTTGGGGGAGCCCAAAGTGCAGCTATTCATTCGCCCATCCTACGTTCCCATGAAAGAAGGTGGAACTGAAAGCGACAACAACGGTGAATAGGAGCATTCAGATGATAAATTGACGGCTGTAATACACTGGATCAGCGCGTCAATATGCGGCTGGTGTTGCCATCAAGTTTTCTGAATGATAATAATAGGCTTTGTGTGTTATGATCCCCTTAGACAAAGTTGGTTTTCAATGTGTTATCGCCCAATGGTTTCACAGCAGTAGTCCACAGCGCATCAAACCTGACCAATCTAACAACACAGCGACGTAAACGTACGCTCTTTTCCAATTTTCCGCCATTGGGCGCAGTTGTGCGTATGACACGCCGTGCGTTACGATCCGATTGTGTTCCTGACAGCTATAAGTGAAGTTCCCATGAAACGCCGAGATGTTGCGTTCAAGTTCCACATACAGCTACGTCCCTACCCAACAAACTACGGCAAAATCATGCAATTCAAACCGATGCATCGGTCGCGTAATGCGCTGCGATGCATTTTGATGTGCCGATGCATTAAACCGATGCATTGGCGCGACGTAGCGTCATGTATAACCAGTTGGTTCAGTTTAGACTAGCCCAGCGCTGCAAACGCCATAATGAGTCGACACGATTGCACGCGTGCTCTAATCTCTGCTGCATATTTAAAAACTGAGCATGTTGTTAGGAAGCCAGTGAAAGGAAGCTGGAGGACCGCAGGGGAACAGTAACGTGGTCTGCACAACTTTTATCCTCCTTCACCCGTGAACAACGGACATTAGCAGGGAGCAGGCGGAGGTAGACACGTTATGATGCATGGATACTCCTGTCTCAGCACCAGTAGTCGTTTAAGCATAAGAACAAATTGAAAAACCGCTGGTTGAGACGGAGAAAACACTGTTTCAGACAAGAGTACGCCAATATATATATATATATATATATATATATATATATATATATATATATATATATATATATATATACAGTATATATGTATACGTTGTTGGCGGAAACGGGGAATTAAGTTACGGAACAGCGCACAAGGCCAAAGAGAGCAAAGCATCAGGCAGGAGCTGGGCCCTTCCAGAGACAGCAATAACAAAAAGGGACAGAACTCTGACACAGACACCAGACAGGGGCATGACCGCTGGCTCAGACAGCTCAGCCTGGGGCAGGACCGCTGGCTCAGACAGCTCAGCCAAGGGCAGTACCGCTGGCTCAGACAGCTCAGCGAGAGGCAGTACCGCTGACATCAGAGCAGAGCTCAGGGCCCATAGAGACAGCATATAAACAAAAAGGCTGACTCGAGCTCAGCAGGCAACCGCTGGCTCGACACTCAGCACATACCGCTGCTCAGACAGCTCAGCCACAGGGCATGCTAGCCGCTAGACAGGCCAACAGGACCGCTGATTCAGACAGCTCAGCCGGGGGCAGGACCGCTGACCCAAACAGTTCATCCAGAGGCAGGACCGCTGATTCAGACAGCTCAGAGGGCAGTACCGCTGCTCAGACAGCTCAGCGAGAGAGGGACCGCTGACTCAGACAGCTCAGCCAGAGGCAGTACCGCTGACTCAGACAGCTCAGCCAGAGGCAGGACCGCTGACTCAGACAGCTCCGCCAGGGGCAGGACCGCTGACTCAGACAGCTCCGCCAGGGGCAGGACCGCTGACTCAGACAGCTCCGCCAGAGGCAGGACCGCTGGCCGTATAGCCGGGGAGGTGCGCCGGGTAGGGCGGCACGCCGCGGGCCCTCGCCGCCGGAGCGCGGCTCGGACGCCGTTTTCCGGCTCCGCCGACAGCCCGACGCCGGCCGGATGCCGGCTGACGGCCGTTCGACAGCCGATGACGGCCGCTGACAGCTGGTGACGGCTGGTGACGGCTGGTGACGGCTGTCGGCCGCAGGCGGGCCCGGCGCGACCGGCGGCGGCCGACAGCCGATCGCGGTCAATTCCATTAGCCTAGCCGCCGCCAGCACCGGCGTTCGATGCTCGGGTGGGCTTTAACGACCCGGCGACATGTCATGGTCCGGCGCTGCGACGACCCGAGCCGCAGAGGCGCACCCAGCACCGCCGACGGTGGCTACCGGTCACCGGGGCAGACGGCGCTCGGCTGCAGCACGGCACCCTGCCGGCCCCGAACGCCTCTGCGCGCGGTGGTGTTTAAGCGGGCGGCGAGGCGGCGGACACCTCAAACACGCCTATCGCGCAGACAGACGGCCGCTTTGCGTGCGCCACTGGCGGTGACATTGTGGAAAGTGAGCTAGCGGTGAGTGGTGCGACCGCAGTCACGGGTCGGTCACGATGACGGATGGTGTTGCGGCATGCCAGACCCGGAGCTCGAAATGGTGGCTGCTCCTGGTGCACACATCTCGCGCACGGACAGGATCAGCTGTTTAAACAGCGGACTGTTCAGTTTGAGGAAGCTGTTGTTCTTTCCAAAAGCATGGGTCGAGCCCTACTCGCGATACTGAGATCTGCAAGTTGTATTTAACAGAAGTTATCAATTGTAATTGCATCAACAGATCAAAACAGCATAATCCACAATCAACTCACCAGTTTTAGTTTCAAGGGATGGTTACGGAACGAGCCTGCGATGCGCTCAGCGACTAGATCTTGATCCGCCGTTGGCCGCCGGGCGGCATAGATCCCACTCATAGCATTACAGGTATCTACGCCCAGAGGGGTGCGGAGCGGGGCGCCAGGCGGCGCGCGGTGGCGTCTGCGTGACGCGCCGCTCGCCGTCCGCCGGGTCCGGATGGCGTCCACGCCACCCAGTTGGGGCCGGCGCCGCCCCAGATAGGCATCGGCCGTCGGCAGGCGTGTGCCGCTCCGTCATTTGCCTCCCCCCTCCCCCCCCCCCCCCCCGGCCGCTGCGCTCCGGCCGTTGGGCCGGTGACGCCGGCAAACACGGCCATTGTCACAGGCAGGTCGCCGCCGCCGCCGAGCGACACACAAACGAGCGCGGCCTTATCCCGCGTGGATCGGCACGGACCCGCGAGGGGCGGCCCCGGCAGCCCGCACTCCGAATGTGGGAAACCAGCGCCCAAGGCGTCTCCACATGGACCGGCGCGCGAGGTCCCCACATCAGCTGCAGGTCAGCAGAGCCGAGAAGGGCGCTGTCGTAGCGCACTGCCGGGGCGCGCCGGAACCAACCCCATGTCGGACACCTCGCGAGGTCTTCGTTGTCCCGCATCGGATACAGCTGGATAGCGGTTCTCGATGGCCCCGGGTGGTATCCTGGTTCAAGACGCAGCAAATGAAATGTTTTTCGATAGGCACCACATTGAGACAAGTGAAAGGGGACTTCTTGCGGGGGAGAACGCCCTATCGATTTCCTAACGTTCGAAACCAGCACCAGTCGACTGAATGCAACAGTCGTGTGAGCAAATTGCTTCGCTCAAGCGCAATCGAACCTTACCATACGTGGGACCAAGTCCCGCTCATATATTCCTAGTCCCAATCTCCATCGATACATCACTTGTTTTTGGAAACAGCTGACACATTGGTGCAATATTACGTCCCTCAGTTTGTTACCGTGGGGGTCTGGATGCTCAGGATTTCAACAATCGCAAAGGGACATCAGAACTCAGCTGGTCGACTTATTTGAAGTAAGACAGCACATACAAAAATACATGTATTCTTGACATGTACCGAGCAGACTAGCAATTCAGCACACACGGTCGGCAGCTCACGATAAATACACACGGTAGCAAAAATACTGAATGTAGACACGTGACTCCCAGCATTGCCTGGAAACGAAACACTGCGTCACAAGTCACAACAAAGAGTTCTGCGAGCCACCAACCGGCTAAGACAGCCGTCGGGGCGCTGTCCGTGATCGTGCCCTGGGGCCATCCCCGAGGTCGGGTCACTTGTCGGGTGGGATCGTGGCGGAGCGTGCCAGCGTCCGGGGGGTACTTCAGGCCCGGCGCGAGCCTGACCGTCCGGGAACTCTGACCTGACGCAACTGACCCTGGGTTCAGGAGGAAGGTTGCCGCCGCGGCTGTGGCCTCCTGCAGCTGGTCCCCGATCGAAGGCGGGGGTGGCAAGGGGATGGGGGCGCTGGCAGCACTGTACCAACAACACGAGGCGAAACGGTCTACGCCAGGAGACTCCTCCACCGAGCACGCCTTGTATAACGCCCAACCCAAAAGACAGACCCAGAACCGGCGCAGACGTACACAGGCCCGGAGCGCCAGACCGCGTGAGAGACAACACGCCAGCCGTGGGCGCCCCCGCGCGACCGGGCGCAGGGCGGCGCCCGCCGCCGAGCCGGCTGTTTGCGACGGCCGCGCCCGAGCGCTCACCCCCGATTACATCGGCGGGCGGGATTCCGGGCATTGCCGGGCGCCATCGGCGGCGGGGCCGGCGCCGCCGCCGCAGCTGCCGACGCCGCGCCGGGCGGCCGCTGCCAGGGCCGGCGCCGACGCGCGCGCGCGGCAGCCGCGCCGGCCGGCCGGCCGCCCCAGCTCGCAGCACGGCACGGAGGGCGCCTGACTGCCAGCGTGACCGTGGCCGAGCCGAGCTGCTGCAGGCAGAGTTCGGACCACGGGAAGGCCGCCGCACGGACGGATGGCCGCCAGCGCGCGAGTTCAGTTATGCTATTGTTGCCGAGGTTGAGACGCTACCGCCGGGCCGGCGCGCCGCCGGTTGGGCTCAGATGCCACCTTCCCTCGAGATCTCAGCAGATGATCCAACCCAGCCTCAACGACCTGGCCGGGGGGGGGGGGGGCTGACGAAACGTCGGGAGCCCGGGAACGGTCAGGGAGGAGAGGGGCCGACGATCGCACCAAACTCTCCGGAATGTCTCGATGGTCCTACTGTGCAGCTACGCCAGAGAGATCGTCTATGAATGACTAATTATGCAGTGCACCTATTCAACACAACAGCCGCAAGCTCCAGTTCAGCGTCCTCGACTGCAACACAGGCAGAATCCCACACTCCCGCGCGGCGAACACACGGAAGCACACACAGACAGCTGCCAAACACCAGCAGCACCCACCCAGCGAGTGTGACGGTCGACGACTGGCAACGGTGCAGCACCGCTAATGGTCATCCTGCTTGCCGGGGCACTGGCAGCTACACGACACGCGCGAGGCTGGCCCAGGCGCCGGACGACCTCCAGCGAGCCGCCGTCGCCGTCGAGCCGCGCCGGTGTTGCCGCGTCACAGCAGCCGCCGGTCACGGCCGGTGATCAACAGCTCATGTCAGGCCCCGCCCGCCTCCCGCCCTGCGATGTTCACGGCGCGGACTGCGCGCGCCCGGCTGCTCCCGGCCGTACAACTCCCTACCGGAGGTAGTCAGACGCGGCCAGGACAGCAGCAGCGCGAGACGTGGAACATTCAAGGGATCCCCAGTCTGTAGGCCGACCCACGAAAGAAGATCGGATGTAGAGATCAACAAGTCAGCTCTTTAATGCTTATGAAATGGATGCTCTGATTCCGCTTACTCGTCACAAGTCATTTGAGGTTCTGATGAGACCACAAAGTTTCAATGGTTTGGGCGCGGTGGTCTTCGTGCCTGTTGGGCGTTCAGGGGGCCCGCCACGCGGTGGTCTGAAGGTCCTCCGGGCGGTTAGAGAACGGCGGTCTCCGGGTCTTCCGGGCGGTTCGGGAGCGGTGGTCTCCGTGTTCTCCGGGCGGTCAGAGAACGGTGGTCTCCGTGTCCTTTGGGCGATCCAAGGGCGGTGGTCTCCGGGTCCTCCGGGTGGTCACAGAGCGGTGGTTTTGGTCCTCCGGGCGGTCACAGAGCGGTGGTCTCCAGGTCCTCCGGGAGGTCACAGAGCGGTGGTCTCCGGGTCCTCCGGGCGGTCACAGAGCGGTGGTCTCCAGGTCCTCCGGGAGGTCACAGAGCGGTGGTCTCCGGGTCCTCCGGGCGGTCACAGAGCGGTGGTCTCCGGGTCCTCCGGGCGGTCACAGAGCGGTGGTCTCCAGGTCCTCCGGGAGGTCACAGAGCGGTGGTCTCCGGGTCCTCCGGGCGGTCAGAGGGCGGTGGTCTGGACGGCTGATGGGCTGTCGGGCGGCGTCAGGTAGTAGTAGGTGGGCGGCGTCTCGGAGATGGTGCGCAGCAGCGGTGGCGGCGGAGGCTGCGGCGGCGACTCGGCCGGCTCCGGCATCTGCGGCTGACCGCCGGCCGCGAACTGGTCCAGGTCTGCCAGCAGCTCCTCGGGCGGCTCGGCGCACACCGATATGTGCAGGCCGAGCGTCTGCAGCCAGTCCTCGGTGAGCGTGAACGCGGGCCTGCGGCGGCAGCCGAGCGTCGGCGGTCAGCGGGGCCACACTGGCACACACACCGGGCGGGAACACCACACGCGGCACGTGTTACCACTAGAGCGTTGCTGTGGACAGAGCCGGAACACCGGACATTGTAGAGGTCAACACTGGCGCGAGGCCAGAGGCAGAGCTCCTCAGCAACCAGTCAACGCAGGCCAGTCGCCTATCCCACACGACGACCACCGCTTCTCCAGACCACCGCGGCTTCAGACAAATCCGCAAGAAATCCACACCGGCCAGTTAGAGTCCAGCCCTGCCAGAGCCCAGGCGGAGCACGGCGCACTGCGGCGTCCCATCGGGCGCACCCACACCGCCGGTCCTGTGACCTCCTGGAGACAGCCCCGACCGCAGAGAGGGCACACAGCAGGGCCGCCGACGGGGACGTCACCTAGTCACATGGCTCCCTGTCAGAGACCCCGCGGCGCACGGGTGGCCCCGGAGGCAGCGTCGCAGCCCGCTCGCGGCGCGCCGCTGCTCGCTCACCGCAGGTCGGCGTTCGTGTTGCAGCAGAGGCAGGTGATCTTGAAGAAGGCCTGCGGGCAGCCGGCGCAGAAGCGGCTCTGGAACTCGCCCTCGTCCAGGCCGAAGTCCTTGGAGCGGCGCGGCAGGAAGTCGGGGTCGGCCGCCACCCGCCCGATCACCTGTCACAGCCGAACACGCGTCGTCGGCTGCACGGCTCGGTTTGGCACGGCGTCCGCCCACGCGGGCGGAGATCCGACGCCAATCGCACCGAACGTCAGCAGCGGCGCGGCCCCGGACGCCGGGCTGGTGCAATGGCGAGACGTGCGCAGCCGCCTGTGGACGCGGATGGCGCGGCTTCGGCCGCAGCGCGGTCGTCACAGTCGCCGTCCAGCCACACCAGACGCCACCAGTTCACAGGCTGTGAGGGCCACGCGAACACGGCACACGAGAGCAGGAGCTACATACAGACAGGGGCGGTGAGACAGTGGGGAGCTCGCTGGCACCATCCAGACCGACAAGGAGAGCACCGGTGGAGATAGAGGGGAGCTCGCTGGCACCATCCAGACCGACAAGAGAGCACCGGTGGAGATAGAGGGGAGCTCGCTGGCACCATCCAGACCGACAAGGAGAGCGCCGGTGGAGACAGTGGGGAGCTCGCTGGCACCATCCAGACCGACAAGAAGAGCACCGGTGGAGATAGAGGGGAGCTCGCTGGCACCATCCAGGCCGACAAGGAGAGCACCCGTGGAGACAGCGGGGAGCTCGCTGGCACCATCCAGACCGACAAGAAGAGCACCGGTGGAGATAGAGGGGAGCTCGCTGGCACCATCCAGACCGACAAGGAGAGCACCGGTGGAGACAGCGGGGAGCTCGCTGGCACCATCCAGGCCGACAAGGAGAGCACCGGTGGAGATAGAGGGGAGCTCACTGGCGCCATTCAGACCGACAAGGAGAGCGCCGGCGGAGACAGCAGGGAGCTCGCTGGCGCCATCCGGACCGTCAAGGACAGCGAAGGTGGCCGACGTGTGGCAGAGCGCTGGTGTGCAGAAGTCCCAACTTGTCCGCCAGGGCCGATACTGTACGCCCAGGTGTGTCAGTCCCCAGCGAGCAACGTCCTGAAGCTGGCATGAAAATCCGATGAGCGTTCCCAATAAGATAAAGGCACGCCACCTACAGACACCACGACGAGCCCTAGCAGCACTGGCGTCGGGCGGCTTCCCTGCATGACTCGTCGCCACACCAGCCTCCTGGGCGGCTTCCCGGCATGACTCGTCGCCACACCAGCCTCCTGGGCGGCTTTCCGGCATGACTCGTCCCCACGCCAGCCTCCTGGGCGACTTCCCTGCATGACACGTCGCCACCCCAGCCTCTCGGGAGCGTGACGCATCGCTGCACGCCCGTCCCCAGAGAGCGACCCTCGGCGACCGCAGCGGGACGCTGGGCTGGCGACACGCAGCCTCCGCAGGCGTGACCGGCCGCTGCAGTCCCTGACTGCTTCAACGCGCGTCCTCGCCGCATGACCGGCGGAGCGCCGTCGCACCTGACCGCTCCTGGCCGGGGTCGCCGGCCGGGCAGGTCGGCGTCGGCGCGCTCCTGCCGGGGAGGTCAGTGGCGGCGGGCTCCTGCCTGGGGTCGCTGGCCGGGCAGGTCGGCGTCGGCGCGCTCCTGCCTAGGGAGGTCAGCGGCGGCGCGCTTCTGCCCCGGGGTCGCCGGCCGGGCAGGTCAGCGGCGGCGCGTTCCTGCCTGGGCTCGCTGGCCGGGCAGGTCAGCGGCGGCGCGCCCCTGCCTGGGGTCGTTGGCCGGGCAGGTCGGCGTCGGCGCGCTCCTGCCTGGGCAGGTCAGTGGCGGCGCGCTCCTGCCCAGGGAGGTCAGCGGCGGCGTGCTCCTGCCCGGGGTCGCCGGCCGGGCAGGTCAGCGGCGGCGCGCGCCGCTCGTCCGTCACACCGGCGCGCCGACTGGCACGCCCGCACTTAAACCGCCCCCCAGGATGCTCCGCATGCAAATGGTCCGCACCAAACGCAGCACACCAGCGCTTCATATCCGTTATCGCAACAGGTAACTCGGGTCACGCGTTGGCCGAATGTCCTGCCAGGAAATATGGGCGTGTTTACGACCTCCAGCAACGTCAACATCGGCGTCGTGGCCGCCGCCAATCCGGCTGCCACTACCGTCAACGTCACGGCGGATGATAACCGTACCTCAACTTCGCAAATTAGTTGGAGAATGATACCCCGCGCATGCCTTTATGCTCTTTTGATACCCCAATTTCAACTATGAGCCAATCTCAACGTAATTTGACCGGGCCCCCCCCCCCTCGCGGGTTGTCAACCCCATGACGCCGCGCGACGTCCTGTTAAGCAGCCTGCTCGGAATCGATTCCCATCTTCGAACTCCGCCGTTTGTTCCGACACAGCCGCCTTTTCGGCAGCACTGTCCGCCCAACCGTGCCGCTGCGCGCTCTCGTGCACCCGGCTGAACAGACCCAGCCAGCGCCGGACAGGCAGCGCCGAGGCCAGCGAAGGTGCGGGGAGGACATCGTCCTCGCCAGCCCGACATCCGTCCCCGAACGGCCCAACGGCAGCAACGCATCGCCGTCCAACGGCTCTCAAGAATACACCGAGTTGCTGCAGGCGACAGCGCTGCTTGCCGGCCTGTGCTCTTCACTAGTCCAACGCGGCGACCTACGGGCGCCGTCTAACGCACCGCGCCCTCGACCGATGCGCGGCGCCGCAGAACGCGTTGAAAGCGCAGGTCGGCCACGGCACACGCGCCACGGGCCGACACGGCGCCGCCCGGACCATGCCTTGGCAGGCCTGTCGGCGACCCCCAGGACGGCACGCAGCGTCCGCACCGCGGCTGAGGCGGCGGCCGTCGGTCTCACCTCGCACAGAATGATCCCGAACGAGAAGATGTCCACCTTCTCGTCGTACTTCTGGCCCCGCATCATCTCCGGCGCCATCCAGTACGGGTTGCCCACCACGGTATACCTGCGGGCAGGGCGGAGGGTGAGCCGCGCCCGGCACCAAGGCCGAGTGCCACGCCTCCGGTGCATATGGCGCCGCTCCGTGCCTCAGTCGACGGCGCTCGGATTATGCATCCAGGGGGCTGCGTTTGCAGATGTCACCAGCAGTGCTCTTTCGGTGAAAGGTCAACCGATAAGATATTGGCAGCGAAATATGCCAAACTGCATACATTTCGTGGCATTGCTGGGAGTACTCGGGAAAAATAAACTAAAGCTTCCACAGAGTCGATGCATGCATTGCGATGCGTTCGGAAGATCACCTGAACAATCTGAAGAATCTACACCGTAATCTGCTCGCGATGATGCAACGAACCAGTGAAGACACTTATATAAACGTCCATGACCACGACACGTCTCAACCTCGTGGTGTGTCAACCGATAAATGTCAACAGCTAAAAAAGAAAGAAGGGGCGACGACCGCGAGCTCACCCCCAGCCCCACGGCCAGACGCGCCCGGCCACAGCCAGGCCTATGTAATCAGCGTCGCGCGCCCTAGCGCCTGTCACGACAGCAGATCGCGTCCTGTCCGACCGCAGCCCAGAACAGTGTAACGTCAGCCAGTTCAAACTCGGGCAGTTCCCCGATCAGCGACATCAGCGCGGCGTGGCGTGCGAAGAGTCTCCGCCTTCCAGAGCACAATCAGGTACAGTCGACGTTTGCCTGCTTTACGGGCAGGACGTGCCCGCACCATCCACAGGCTGAGCGGGCGCGTGGGACCGTGCAGGACGCGCTGGTCGGCACAGCTCAGCTGGACGCGACGGACCGATGACGGACGGTGCGCGACTTAGTGCGGCAACAAGAGCGTATTGATTCTCCGGGGGTGCGCCGAGTTACGCTCCTCTGTGTGGTCCCGGGGGGGGGGGGAGGGCTACAGCTCACATGTCTCCCAAGACCCAAAGAAGCATGCTTGTATCGAGCAACGTGGCTGTATCGCCTCCTCCAACCCGACAAGAAAATAAATACATGCATCTGGCGGTGATGAACGAACGCTTTCGTTTGCCTTGCAAATGTGCCTAATAATTTCGGAATGGGACACATGACGGCCCCAACATTTTCCTCTGCATTGTTACTACCTCGGGTGCAGTTCAGTCGAACCGGCCCATGTCTGTCAACACATGGCACAGGTCATGAGAGGACACAGCGCCAGGTACAGGTCACGTCCCATCACTGCGTTTCTGTCAGTCCTGGTTCCCTTCCAGCGAAAGCGGCCTTCCAGTGGCTGAGTTGGTCACCGGTCCTTCTGCGCCTCGCCAGGCTCTCCCCAGAGAGCGGCCGCGACCGGACCCCAGGGGGGAGGGGGAGGGCGGCTCTCACCGTTTCTTGCGCTGCAGGCGGCGGGCGCGGTTCATCTTGCGCCGCTCCAGCGTCGAATGGTTCTCGGTGATTATGCGGGCCAGGCCGAAGTCGGCCACCACCACCGTACGGTTCTGCGGCACGCCCACCCGCCGCAGAGTCACAAGTGCGGACCAATGGAGACGTGATGTCTTACTGTGCCGCAGCCGCGCGGGCGGCGGCACGGACACAGGGAAGGCGCGAGCAGACCTGGCGTCAAGGCGCCAAGACGCAGGCACCACGGGGCGGCGGCACATACACAGAGGGCAATCAGACCCGGCACCAAGGCAGCCCGGAACCAGCACCACGGGCGGCGGCAACATACAACAGAGGCGAGCAGACCTGGCCACCAGGCGCCCAGACACAGTCACCACGTTGGCGGCCGGCACATACAACAGAAGGCAATCAGACCCCGGCACCAGGCGCCCAGGCACAGCCAACCACGGGCGGCGGCACCATACACAGCGGCCGAGCAGGAACTGGCGTCAGGCCACCAAGACGCAGGCACCACGGCGGCGGCTGGCCACATACACAGAGGCAAGCAGACCCGGCACCAGGCGCCCAGACACAGCACCACGGGCGGCGGCACATACACAGAGGCGAGCAGACCTGGCGTCAGGCGCCAAGACGCAGCACCACGGGCGGCGGCACATACACAGAGGCAATCAGACCCGGCACCAGGCGCCCAGACACAGCACCACGGGCGGCGGCACGGACACAGAGGCGAGCAGACCTGGCGTCAGGCGCCAAGACGCAGTACAACGGTCGGCACAAACGAGATGGGGTGACAGGCGCGGTCCGACGCCGTGGCTAGTGATGCGATACACAACAGGGCCGCAGCTCCGGATACAAGCCCGGAGACGGTGGAGACGTCAGGCTTAGCAGCACGGCACACGGAAGACCCGACACCGGCGTGATGGAGTCAGGGCCGTCTGGAGACCGGCAGGCAGAGGCACAGGGTGACAGGCCCGTCGCGAGGCACGCTACAGGCGAGATGGAGTATTGGCAAGACCAGGGACGAACGCCCGAGCTGCCCCATAGAGGTACATCATGCCAGCGGCCGGCGACAGGGACCAGTGGGACGCGGAGCATGTGGTCCACTCAAAGTTCAATATCGGCTCCAAGTTCACTCTAACAGACTGCACGGTGGGCACAGGGACAATCGATGGTGACACGCTTGTCGACATGCGGCGACCATCACCGCCACCCGAGTCAACTGATAGCGGTGCGCGGCACTACGATCAAATATGCGGCTGTCAGGTGATGCGTGGAACACAATCAGCAGCATTCTCGCTTCAAAACGCAGCGCGTTCCCAAGACACAGCAAGTAAACGTTGACGCAGTCCTGCCCATTCTAGCAAACACTGGGCACAGCAGCATAGCCCCTCCTGCGGCTACGCCCACCCCCGCCGCGCACCCGTCGCCCGGCCGTGCGCCGCTCACCTCCCTGACTAGACAGTTGTGCGAGTTGAGGTCGCGGTGGATGATGTCGCGGCTGTGCAGGTACGCCATGCCGGCGGCGATGTCGCGCGCGAAGCCCACCCGCTGCTCCCAGGGCAGCGGCTCGCCGGCGTTGTGGATCAGGTCCCAGAGCGAGCCGCCGCTGATGTACTCCGTCACCAGGTGCAGCTTCCGCTCCTTGTACAGCACGCCGATGAAGCCCAGCACGTTGGGGTGGTCCAGCGAGCGCAGCACCGCCACCTGTGGCGCCACCGGTCATCGTCACACCGATATAGGTAGCGCCACCAGCCATCGTCACACCGGCATAGATGGCGGCGCAGACGCCCAGGCGGCCCACCAACGGTGCCAGGCCAGGCCATCGGCACTCTGCATGCTGGCCACTACCATTGCAGCATTGGAATACTGCCAGTCTCTCAAGGCGTAGCTAATCAGCTGTGGCACTGCGAGCCAGAAGCTTCTCAGAGTCACACTAAGTCAACACGTCCATGGCCCACCTCTTTCAGGAAGTTTGACTGCGCGTCCTCGTCCACCCTGTACAACTCCTTGAGAACCATCACTTCCCCAGTGGTTTGGTGAGTAACCTGGAAGGTCGTAAGTATATCGCCAGCAGTTCCAAGGTCACACAGGTGACGCGGGTGATTTTCGCCGCGACAAAAACCACCACGCCACCGAGACCGGCACAACGCGAGCAGTCCCGACCGGCACCCCCGCGAAACGAAAAAGCACAGAATGGCATTCACGACCACCAGCACCCAACAGCCGCCAGAGCAGAGCGATATCCACGCACGTTCCGCCCACAAACATCACTACCTTCTCAGCGCTGACACCGAAGAGCCCGACACGTCATAAGAGCACGCCGCACACACACGCCCGCGCAGTACCGACTCCCGAACAGCGGCCGCCCCAGCCGCCACCCGCCGGTGCGCACCTCACCTTGAAAACCTTGCCGAAGAAGCCGGTGCCGAGCAGGTCGCTCTTGACCAGGTCGGCGGCGCGGAAGATGCGCTGGTGCTGCGGCGGCGCGCGGAACGACTGGGTGCGCGCCAGAGGGTCGTGGTCGGCGTCCAGCCCGCTGAGGGGCGCCAATGCCAGGCCGAGTCAGACACGGCTCGAGCGCGGCTGACAGCGCACGGCCGCCGGCCGCCGCCAGCACCGCCAGCTGAGCTATACACCGCTCGTGGACGGGTGCGCGAATGAATCTTCAGCGCAATACACGAAGTAACACGAAGTGAATATATACACGATAGTTAGATAGATAATAGTTAGATAGATAGATAGATAGTTAGATAGTTAGATAGTTGGATAGATAATAGATACAATACACGAAGTAAACCTGGCCCCCTCCCCAGTTTGCCAGGCAGTTTCAGATGCGGCTTCCTACGCCTCCCCCCCGCCCCCACCCAACTTGCACCCTGCTGGATGTGAAAGGTGGGTTTGACATTCTGGGAAGCAGTCCTCACCTCTCCGTAGTGGTCCTCGCCTCTCACTAGTGGTCCTTTCCCCATTTACGGTGGTCTTCCACCTATCGACGGTGGTCCCTCACCCCTCGGCGGAGGTCCCCAATCCTCGGCGGTGGGCTCTTTCCCCTCAGTGGTGGTCCCTAACCCCTCGGCGATGGTCCCTCACCCCTCGGCGGTGGTCCCTAACCCCTCGGCGACAGCCCCTCACCCCTCGGCGATGGTCGCTCACCCCATCGGTGGACGTCCCTCACCTCTCGGCGGTGGTCCCTCAACCTTCGGCAATGGTCCCTCACCCCTCGGCGAGGGTCGCTCACCCCATCGGTGGACGTCCCTCACCTCTCCAGGATGCGCGGCATGCTGCTGGCGCGCTCCTCCTTGTCTGGCCGGCTGGGGCGGCGCAGCTGCCGGCTGCGGCCCGACATGTAGCCCTCGTCGGCGCGCCGCCAGCGCCTCTGGCGGCCGCCGTCGGCGCTGAGCCGGCGCGCCGGGTCGGGCGCCGGCCGCGGGTCGTGTTCGATCGTCAGCTGGGGGCACGAGCCGCGTCAGGGCAAGGGCACACGGCATGCGGAAATGTAGTATGCCATCAGGCGCGTTCGATGACCAAGCTGCATGTCGAAAAGGCAGGGCGAGCCCGCAGCATAAATTTGTAGGAAACCAGGGTCCCACAACTGAGAAAATGTGTAGGTTCAAACTGCAATGAGTGACGCGCCATTTCGGTGGCGACATTAGGGCGACAAGCCTGCTGCGCAGCCATGAGAGCATGTACAAAGCCACGCGTGTTTCACTGTGTGCCGCACATGCTGGCGTGCGGAAGACTTCCTGCTACGGCGACCGACCACGCATCTCCCACGGTGCCGGTGATGCACGCCTGGCACACATGCGCGTCTACCCATCAGCGCAGTCTTGGAAAACTTGACGTTTCCTGGCATAATGTATACCAGGAGCTTTGTACTCCAGGATTGTGACTGGGTAAAATAAAACATTTTGTACTCCATCATGATGCAACAAAAACAGACTTTGAAAAACTCATTTTACCTCTTTGTGCCAGGAAAAAATAAAACCAGAAGGTGAAACAGCTTGAGACTTGCTGCTTCTATCAGGAGCCATGTATTGGCATCTGCAAGAGCACAAATCTTGCATCCACCAGACTAAGATGCCCAACAGCAAGCGGCCTGTGTTGCCACCTAGGTATATGATAAACTATGTATGGAAATGCGAAAAATAAAGCGTGTGAAGGCTGAATGGAATGGCCTTTGAACAATACCGGGAAATGAGAAAAGAGCACAAGAATCGCACCGGTCTGTAGATTAGCAAAGCTCTCACCCCCTATGCCCCACGCAGACCAACTCAAACGTGAACATGACTTAACCTACCATTGACGACGAACCGCATTAATTGTCAAGAATGCAACGAACATTCATAGAAACCGGAACGCCCAATCACCTACCGCAGACGGCCTCCTACCCACGCGCCACCACTGCGTCATGGCAATGCAAATAACGGAATCACTCGCAATTCAGCGTCGGAAACGTCACAACTATTTAGCGGCTTGCGCCTGCCTCCTAGCTCAGCTTGGGGGTTGACCATAGCAAAACTCCCCAACTGGTTTTAATGATCCGCTTTCTCGTCACTGATTTGTCAAGAGCATAAATATTCTGCTCGCGCTCATGCCTCGAACAGATTTGTAAACATCTGGAGGGAAGCTGTGTAGAGATGGACATCACGATTATGAAGAAGGACTTATTTGTACTCATCCAGAACCGCCATGTGGTTGGATTTTTGGCCACTTCCTGGTATCCGGAAGACACAAAAATGTTACGGCAGCTGTGGATTTAAATCAAGTTAAATTTGTCACTGAAGGGTGTGAAATTAAATCTGGTAATGCAGGCTATACAAAAACATTTTAGGTTGAAAAACGTTGCTATAAATAGCCAAAAACCTGTTCGGAGACAGCCATCTCACTCCGGCGAAAACACCCGGATACCAGGGTAACATGAACCCATAACTTGGGCCCGGCAAATTATAGAGGAGGGTTTATTAGGACAAAACATCAATTAGTTGCAACCCAAATTATGATATTTCGCAATGATATTGGTTAAAGCGCATCAAAATCCATTAATACCTTGCATTATCTTCCGGAGTCAGCGCAGCGACTGACTCGATCCCTTTTGGCCGGCCTGCACGTGTCTGTTAGGCATTGTACTTGCGCTGGCTCGGTAAATCGGTTAAGAGTGCTGTCTGTCTATATAGTTCCGGTGGGACGTGCAGGGCCTCGTGTGTTGACCGGGAGTGGAAAGGTGGAGGACATGAATGTTGTTGTTTTTAAAACCAGTTAGCTGGTGGAGCGTGAGTAGCGTGACCGTGGTGAAGCGTGAGTAGCGTGACCGTGGTGGAGCATGAGTAGGTGGCCGTCTGTGACATGTTCATTTGCATTCTTTGTGTACCACTTTTGTCTGGCTGTGGGTATCGTACCCACCCTCCATTTTGGACAGTGTATCAACCCGATGCGTAATTATCCTCCGTTTTGGAGAGTGTATACACAGAGCCTTTCATAAATTGTAAACCAATGTATATGCACATGTGTTTCATAATACAGGTAATAGGTATGAGACCGTGTGGTTTCAGTGTGCCATGTTTAATACTGATGTTTCCTTTCATTTAAAGTGCTTTTACACGAATTGCTGCATGTGAAAAGTGGCGCTTTTGTTGATTGCCACCCATTGTACTGTTATCTCTGAAAGATAACCTAAATATAGCTGTAATGACCCGCGGCACTTGGATAATTTTGTACTCCACTACAGAAAATTTGTACCCCGCTGCCAAGATTTTTTTTTTCTTTGAATTTCCGACACTGCATCAGCGCCTGACCCACGGCACCGCCCGAGCCTACGGGCCCGTCACCCCTGCCCGCTCCAGCCGCCGCCGCGTGCGGCCGGCGCGACTCGCACCTGGACGTCATTCTCGCCGTGGTTGATGAGCCTCTCGATGGCGGCCATGTTGCTGCCGGAGACGGCCAGCCCGTTCACCTCCAGCACCCGGTCACCGGCGTGCAGCGACGCCAGCTCAGAGCCCAGGTTCATCCTGCGACGGCGCCGGCAGTGGTCGCTCAGGGGCGGCTCAGCAGGAGCTCAGGGGCGACCCAGGGGCGGCTCAGCAGGAGCTCAGGAGCGACCCAGGGGCGGCTCAGCAACGGCTCAGGGGCGGCTCAGCGATGGCACAGCGGCGGCTCAGCGGGGGTACAGCGACGGCTCAGGGGTGCCTCAGGAGCGGCTCGGCGGCGGCGCAGCGGTGGCTCAGGGGTGGCTCAGGGACGGCTCAGCGGCGGCTCAGGGGCGGCTCAGGGACGGCTCAGCGGCGGCACAGGGGCGGCTCAGGGGGGCACAGCAATAGCTCAGGGACGACTCAGCAGGAGCTCAGGGGCGGCTCAGGGGCGACACAGGGGGGCACAGCGGCGGCTCAGGGGCGACACAGCGGCGGCTAGGGGTGGCTCAGGGGCGGCTCCGGACAAGGACGAGTCGGGACGGCTCACTATCCACTGCGACGTCACGTCATACCGCTCGGCACAATCATGCACCCCACCCGGCACTCTCACACCGATCACCACCCGCTACCTGCCGCACCCCCCGGGCGATGTCAGTCACCACATCAGCAGTCACTCACAAACACACGCACATGCACAGAGCGTCCACTCGACACTGCCGGCGGCCGGCCGCGCCCGGCGTGGACCTCCCAGTGGTCGTGACCTTCGCCGGCCGGCCGCCTGCCCCCGGGCCATCAGTGACCGCCGGCGCGCCACCTGGCGGGCCGCGCGCCAACCGGAGCCAGGCGACGGGCGCGGTCGGACTAGCGGCACGTGGCGCCACCAACGGCCAGGGGCCTCTCGACGCCCGCAGGCACGCGCGTCACCGCGCGTCACTCGGTCCGGAGCGACAGGACGAGCGGACAGACGACGCAGGAAGCCCCGCCGCCGTGCGGGCCTCGCGAAGCCTTCAGCGAGCCCCCCCCCCCCCCCCCCCCTCCGCCCCCCCCCCCCCGACCACATGCCAGCGCGCAGGCCAAGGCGGCTTTTACTGAGAAGTCCATCTGACTTTGATGTCATCCAATCGTTGCACTGTGTGGCCGAGTGCGACGCGTCAGTCGGCGCAGTCGCCTATCTATCACTCGCCCCGCGAGGCATGAGCGACCCTGGCGGCCGGCCGGGGGCATCGATTGCCGGTCACGTCACCCGCCACGGGCCGGCACGGCGCCTTCAGATCCTGTTAGCTAATGGCATCAGCGCCGCACAGCCGCTGATCTCCACCTTCGCTGCGACAGTGCGCCCGAGCTGAGAGAAGCAGCCGGGTCTGAGCCGGGACACCCTGATGGCCCAATCACAGGCTTCCACACGTCTGACCTGCCCCAACCTGACAGGGAGTGCGTTCTCCTACGGATGCACGGCGGGATACAAAGGCACAAGCTTACTCATTATGGCACCAGGGCGCATCTTTGGTATGCTTTGGTGCGGGTATTCATGGAGAACGTTGATCAATCCCCACATTCTCGGCGCACCATGAGCCCGGTGGTCACTGCGCGTCCTCGCCGGGCGGTGTCAGCAAGAGCGGCGCTCACACGTCCCTCCTGTTTCCGCCCGCGGTTTTACGCCTCTCGGGTTTGTGCCTGTGGGGCGTGTCGTACTGCGGCCTTAAGATATAGGCCGCCCCCCAGCGTCGGCGACAGCCGGCCAGCATACGTCTGGTGCCACATTTTGTGACTTACCATCATTAAAGCCTCCTGCGTCGGCACCATTGTGGGCGCTGTCCCCGGGGCCCTGTACCGGCGCGCGGGGCGCCTCGTCCCCGGGGCCCTGTGCCGGCGTGTGGGGCGCCCCGTCCCCCGTACCAGTGTGTGGTGTCCGGTCCCCGGGGCCCTGCACCGGTGTGTGGGGCGTCCCGTCTCCAGTATCGGTGTGTGGGACGCCCCGGGACCCCGTCCCCCGTGCCAGTGTGTGGTTGTCCGGTCCCCGGGGCCCTGCACCGGTGTGTGGGGCGTCCCGTCTCCAGTACCGGTGTGTGGGACGCCCCGGGGCCCCGTCCCCCGTGCCAGTGTGTGGTGTCCGGTCCCCGGGGCCCTGCACCGGTGTGTGGGGCGTCCCGTCTCCAGTATCGGTGTGTGGGACGCCCCGGGACCCCGTCCCCCACACCGGTGCGTTGTCCCGTCCCCCGCACCGGCGCGTGGGACGCCGCCGTGTCCGGCTCGTCACGTACTCGGCGATGCGCACGGCCAGCGAGCCGGGGTCGGGCGAGCCCAGCCGGATGTGCCGGCCGGCCGCCTCGCCGCCGCCCGGCAGCTGCACCAGCTGGATCGAGTGCGGCTTGCGGAACGGCTCGGCCGGCGCCAGCAGCTCCATACGCCGCGTGTAGCAGTCGCCACTGGAGTGCACAGGGCGGCCCCGTCACAGTCACGGCCCCTCAAAGCAGCACACTCCAGCTTACGACCATGGCCAGAGTGGAGCAGCCAGTATTGCAGCCCACAGCACGACAGCAGTACGATAGCAGGCTGAGGTGCGCCGGTGCAGATGCTCACAGGAGCTAATCAAATCATGGAGCAGTCCCAGGCGCAAATACGCAAATGACGTGCGCATCCATTAAAACTGCATGCATTTCATGCGAGCATACATGAAAACATCGACATCTATTTAGAACATCAACAAGACTGGAACTAACTTGAGCTTTGACGAATGGAGTGAACATACAGTGAGACCACGCTCTTCACGATTGCCCAGCACCATCGGCCCGGCTCGTGGGTCACGACTGGCACCATTCGGGAAGGCCGTCAACCAATCTGGTCTGCCGCCACTCACCAGTAGAGCTTGGAGCGTTCAATAAGGGCGTAAGCCTGCCCGTCCTCGATGAAGCCGCTGCACGAGGTGCAGCGGAAACACTCCGGATGGAACTTGTGCTCGGCCGCCTCCATCACAGGGCCCGTGATCACCTGCAGGTCAGGTCAAGTCAGGTCAGGTCGGATCGGACCGTCCTCAGTGGCCATCACTACCAGGCCCACAGCCGCCTGCAACGGGAACGTCATGTCAAGTAAGGTCGGGTAATGCCAGGTCAGGTCAGGTCAGGTCAGGTCAGGTCAGGTCAGATCGGGTCGTGCTCGGCCGTACTTACCACCAGGCTCATGTCTGCCTGCTGTGGGAGGAGATGCCATGCCGACAACGCAACAATCAGCAAAGTGTACCGGCCTCCCGCGCGGCAAAACCCAACTGCCAGAAGCTCTTGAGTGAAGGGAGATAACGACCAACTAATGGGATACCATATAACAACCAGCAAAATCGGTGGCCTCGTATTCCTCTAAAGATACAAACAAATCTCCAATTTGTAACTTCTCATAATATTGTTAACATGTTTGTGCTGGCCTTTCACTTTGATGTCAGTCTTTCAAAATTAGGTCCATATTTTTGGCCTGGATAGACTTCTGGGAGCAGCGCCCAAGATAAGCAGCGCATGTTTCCGATCGTCCGATCGCGAAAATCCTGCTCCAAGGCCGGACTTTGTGGCGAGAACTTAACTTGCCAGATAATGCCCGGCGCGGTCCGTCCAAAGCCCTGACGTCTGCTGACCTTCAGCGTGGCAGCTGCCACCGGCCGTAGGTCATCCATGTGCTAGAACGCGCATGCCTCAAGCGACTCGAACCCACCCCACCACGGGCGAGTGAACTGAAATGCGGGCGCTCTCACCAACTGGACTATCGCGACGGCAATTGTCTTCACAACAGCCTTTCAGCACTGCGCGCGCTTGATACCACTGGCAATTGTCAGTCGATGTCGGAGCAGCAGGGGCCCGCCAGAGCAGCGGCGGCTGCCGGCCGTGACGGCGACACGCGCCGCACGCGGCCACGGGCGCCGGTAGACGCGGCTCGGCCGCCGACGGCAGCACCCACCTTGGAGCACGTCTGGCACGCCTCTCCGAACTTATCGGCGTAGTCGGCCTGGCAGAAGAGGATGCCGTCCTTCTCGAAGTACCAGGCGGCGAGCGAGGCGTCGCAGACGGAGCACCTGGACGGCGCGCGGGGCGTGATCACCCGGCCCGGCGCGGTGCGACGCCGGCCGGCACAGCACGGCACACCACAGCGACGGACGACCCGGCGGCGGGCGCGGGGCTTCGGTGTCAGCCGGCCGCCACTCGGCGCCGCCACCCGACTCAGGGGGTCGGCAGCCGGGGAGTCAAGCGTCGATGGCAGCACACGCGTGCAGCAGCTGGGAAGGGCCCGCTGCTCGCGACCACAGGCAGAGCATGCGATCGACCGATGGTTCCACGCCCCACTTGAGAAAGACAGCAATGTCCACCAAATGCCTTCACGGACAAAGCTGTTGATGGTAACTGACTTTCAGCAAGAACATTGAAAATGGCGGCAAGTGCGTGCGAATAAAGGGCCACTACCAACGAGGTCACGATTGGTGTATGAGAATGGAGAAAAAGTGCAGACGCAAAGGCCACTTCCGTGGGAGACTTTTACCAAACATTCGTAAAACCCTTGAATTTTGCATGAAAACTTTCACCCTTATTCTCCCTCTAATGACACCCGTATGGAATTCCCCGTGTTAGGACAGTTTCCGTAACGAAAAAGTACAGATCACACACACACACACACGCACACAAGCATACAAATCAGGTTCCTCCTTGTACGTGCCGAGGGTGAGATGCCTTCATTTAGAAACCCTGACAGTGAGTTGAACACAACATAAATCCACTCCAAATGCCCGACATAAAAATGAAAACACAAAGCAATTAAGCAGGACAATCACGGCTCCATTTTGGTATTTAAGGATCAGAGTGAACAGTGACCAAAACCACATAACGGACGTACCTGAATTTCTTCCTGCAGGTCATGAAACAAAGGGCAAAGACACGTTAGCTGCATGTTGATGCAATTCAGCTCCCATCAGGAAAACGCAGCACTTTCACCCGGTCAGTAAGCTCCTGTTTCTTTGGGCCCAGCAACATGGACGTGCAATGAGAAAGCCATATCTTGTTCGAATCGATTTAGAGCATTACACATGTTATGTTGTCGGTCAGTTAACAGCGTTTAGCAGTCAGCGTCGCACGCTAAGTTCCATGTTCCAGCCTTGCAGCAATGCCAAACGCTAGCCCCCCCCCCCCCCCCCCCCCTCTCCCCCGAAACGAAAACATATCGGATCAGTTACGCGCAGACCGCACGCCCTTTAAAACATCGGCGTAGAAATGTCATCGTTATATGCATATTGAATAACGCAATGAAGTCATGCCAATGATTGGCTTCCGTATTGTTCCCATAAAACGCTACCTGCCACATGGACAATTTAAAACCTGCTTTCTTCACTTACAAGATGAAGATGCTTTTTTCATGTATCAAGCAGCACGTCAGCTCGAGCCAATCACCAATCTAAGCACACCACAGCATAATGCAGCAAAGCCTCGCTTCAGCAGCAACCCCGGCTTTGTACTGCCCGGCCCCTCCTGCGCCCGCGTCGCCCCTCCACCAGCACGCGGCCGCTCAGCCAGTCCTCAGTCCTCAGTCCAGTCCTGACCTGAAACACTCTGGGTGGAACGACTTGCCGAGCGCCTGGACAAACTCGTCGTCGTCGATGTCGTTGAGGCAGCAGGCGCAGGCGGGGTCGGCCAGCTCGTCCTCGGCCGGCTCCGCCTGCTCCGTCTGGCCGCCACCACCGCCGCCGGCGGCCTCGGCGCCGGCTCCGGCCGCCGCGCAGAGCATACCGCCTGGGGCGCGACAGTTGCCGGTCAGCTACGGCAGCGGCCGGTCAGCTAGGGTGGCGGCTGGTCAGCCACGGCATCGGCCGGTCAGCCAGGGTGGCGGCTGGTCAGTCATGGTGGCGGTCGGTTAGCCACAGCAGCGGCCGGTCAGCCACAGCAGCGGCCGGTCAGCCACGACAGCGGCCGGTCAGCCACGACAGCGGCCGGCCAGCCACGCCGGCAGCCAAGCCCAATGCTCACATCAGAGCATTGTAACACTACTGCACTTATTTATTTGTGCAGTCTTATTTATGTTGTCTGTGTTGTCTCTGTGTCTATTCATCACTGTTGTGTTCCAATGCAAAAATGCATTTGACTCCAACATGGCGGTGGTGATTTATGATGTGCTGCTAGTTACATGTCAAGAACATCACTATCAGAACATGGAATTGTCACTGGCATCATAGGAAGTACAATACACCCTGAAATTCAGGAAGTACAATATACCCTGAAAGTACAATATGCCCTGCCCCTTCCCCATTCCACTCCCAGTAAGAGCAAATCAGTATAGTCTCAGTGTCATACAGCATTAAAAATTACATGATACAGCCAGTGTTTCTTATTCTCCAGGTGTAGACACTGGTTGAAAATGATGCAGAAGCATGCATAGGCATCAAATCATACCATATAAACTATGGTGAAGTGCCAACTGATAATCCCAGTAAAAGGTGCCCAATCCACACACTCAGTTGCCTTAAATCAGTCTCAACCAATACCACAAAAACAAAAAGACAAACTCTCCTGAAGCATGAGAACAATTACAGCCTTGGCAATCAGCCCTTGCATTTGCAGCAGCAGAATGAAAGCAATAAATACTAACATGTGAGCTGACACAGGCCAAACTGAAAATGCCAGTGCTGTTTCAGCTGCCACAGCAAATGATATGAGGCGACACAGCAGCATTACCAAACACAGGATCGCATGCCATGATTGGCTCACAGTTGCTGCCCAAAGAGCTGAGGGTAGTCCACCACCAACCATTCCAGGCCTCAAAGAGAGGACAACACAAGGAGCACAGATCAAAATAGACTTCTTGAAACATGGCTTGACCTGAAAACCAGATATGACAAGGAATGCACATTGAAGCACACTTTGTAAAACAAGGTTGGGTGGAAAACCAGCTGACACAATGACTATATATCCAGGCAGACTTCTTGAAAGATTGTTTTTCTTGAAAATTTGTCTGGTTGGCATAATGCTGGAATTCTGACAGAGGACAACATATGAGCTGCATCTCTGTGCATCCCAAAAATAGGAGATTTAGTATATATGCCATAGATAATTCCCTCCAAACAATGCACTTCTGTGGTTGCCACATATTTAAAACCATCTCATTGCTCTAGTGACCATATAAATCATAATAAGTCTCACATAACTTCTAAGCTGATAATCAAATATAAACCAGAGAGCATAAATATAGCTTTATAGAAAATGATATATTTGTTTGCATATTGTAAGGACTTACTTTGAAATAACATGATCCAGTAATGCAAGATGAGCTCCAATATCAAACCTTTTTATACAGAACTGCTGACTATTCTAAGTCCCCAAATCATATCTGACACACCTTTCCTATCAGCTGAACCAGACAAGGTAACAAATGATTTGACCTAACTTCTAGCTTATCCCCTTCATTAAAATGCACATTGATTTATAATGCCTGTCCCATTCTAGTCCCAATCCTATGATGCATTTCTCAAGATGTCACATCCTAGTTATAATTGAACATTTCTGTAATAGTTGCAACAGAACATTTTGAACTTTGCATTTGGTGTTTGCAAAATGCTGTCCCAGTTCAACAAGCTGAGAATCCTACTTCATGACAAGACAATGTTATATAAGTCATAATTTTTCATAAGCAAAAAATTATCTTGTCTACACCTCTTGCCACATGTTGTGCCTCATACCATATTTGCTGTGTTGGAATTGACAAGCCATGCCTGGGTAGTGTTATAATTTTATTTAATGAAAAGTGATGAAATCCTACTACTTTGTCACGAGTATTGGTGTTACATGCCTTAAGGCAGTTGTATGTTGAAAGCATTATACTGAGGATAAGATGCAGGCTGGAGCCCAAAAGTGCAATGGCAATGGAAGCATACCACATTCAAGCTCAAATTGAAGGATGCAATACAACTTATGCCATTTGAGCAAAACAGTCATTTAATGATGATGTTCATTAGCATGTGATGGTGAATTATCAGTGAGAGGGACCAATCTTATGAAACTGGTCTTTGGCGATCTATTTTGGCTGCAATTATACCAAACATATAGTGATTTTGGGATGCTTGAATATGTTGTCATTGTTACACTAAACTCTGAGGTGTTCAATTCTTTAACATGAAATATAAATCAGGTGCCCACCTCCTACATTTATATTGGTGGGACCTAACCTGAAATTTAAAGTGAAATGGGGACTTTAACTGCCAACCACTACATGACGTTGGATAGCATTCAGCGCTTCCTAAAGTATGGAGTTAGTGCACGCGCATTTTAGCAGGAATGTTAACAAACAGCCTACCTTTCTGCGTTATTTCTTTGCCGAGTGGCTCCGCTGACAAATTCAGGGGCGTTTCTAAAAAAAATCCGCAGAAAACTGGCTTACGGCATTAGAAACACACTGAAACGCTATCGGTTTTTTAGCGTTTGAATTAACTTTTAAGACACACAAAACATCAGTCACCTATCACTCGACCCAGACTACAAACGACCGATCCTGACCCTTGGCCTGGAAGACACACGCCAATGTTATTGTCAAGGCTGTATAATAAAGGCAAAACTGCTCGGCGATTCTAGCGTCAACTGCAATTCACGCTACCCTGACGTCACTGGTGATAAAACTTAAATTGTGCTGGAAGCCGCCAGACGCTGGGCGCAATGCTGAGGCAACCGGAGAATCGAAATATTCGCACAGATAATGCAAAGGCTGTAAATGGAAGGTCAATACTGCAAGGGAGCAAAATATGTATGATTGTCTGGCGAATATAATTTTAAGCTTGTCAAGCCAATGCAGCAAACAATTAAAGTACACTGGCATGAAATGTGACGACGTACATACGAGACTGATTCCCATATGATATCAGGAGCATTAGACTGTCTTACCACCCATAACGAACAAACAGTTGGTGAAAGATGTGTGGGACCAGCGAACCGTTTGCGTAGAATCGAACAACAAGCATTATGATGTGCGTGGTAACTGGAAGCGGCAAGTAATTATACTTAATGCGCTTCGATCTTATACTGCCTCGCACCCCGTAGTCGTGCCGCCGCCGGTGGCGCGAGTGGGTCGAAAACGTAGTGAATCTGCTGTTTGCTATGGTCGTTTTTGTTCATGGGTGCGCCGGGGACATTGCGAGTACGATTAGGTGACTGATATTTTTCCACCGCCTTTGTGGTTGTATTATATTGAGTTGCACAATATAGGAGTCCAGGAATTTCGTACCCACCTGCATCTATCCGCACAGTCGCCGTGCTCGGTCTGTACCTCTTTGCGTGGCCGGTCGTGCACGTTCCGTAGCTGTCCATCAAGCTACCGTGCTTGGGACGTACCTAAAATCCACATACTGCGGTGCTCGGTCGGTGCCTGCATGCACGGCTACCGTGCTTGGTCCGTGCTTTTCAACAATATGTCATGTGCTCGGTCCGTACCTGCCTAAATTCCGGCGTCCGTGCCTGTCGGCGGGGCCGGCCGTGCTTGGACCGTGCCTGTACGCGAGGCCGACAGTGTTCGGCCCCTACCTGTCTGCATAATGAACATAACTGTCGAGTCACGCATGTTGAGTTCTCGAGACTCTTATGTACCTTGCTTAGGCATATGGGTAAAATCAAAGATACTCAAACGGGTTGCAAAGTACGTCATGCATCTGATATGGTTCTTTTTGGCCGGAATAGCGTCAAAAGTACAACCGATGTCAATCGTACGATTTTTTTAAATGGACCGGATCGTCATTTACCTGCAGCACCGCCCGCTGGTGCTGGGATCTGATGATGAAAACGGAAGAGTAAACACAGATCGTCTTTTTGTGGTGTTCTTACCGTAAATCTGTTCACAGAACAACCTCAAAACTTGAAAGGCAAAGTATACACAATAATCTGACCTGTGAGCGGTGTGAATTGACTTTGAAGCAATTTCGTAAACATTATTTACAAGGCGGTCGTTCTCGATAGCCCGGCGCCTATCTGCAGCGGACAACGCAGTATAATTGACAGACATTACCACATGGATCATGGCTGCCCTTGTTCCGAAGACGATGACCACACAGGCTTTAAACTGGTTTATGTAAGTTGTCTCGCTAGTCAATCGTGTGAATAGTTAGACGCTGTTGGCCAAACATGGGTTGGCCTTTTAATTTTTTGACAATTTCGATCCACCGTCTTAAACGTTAATTAGGCTATAACTTTTTCCGGGCAAGGAAACCCCAGTGGGAGACTTATTTGACTCAAAGGAGCGCTAGGTGCAGGTGCCAGAAGAGCTGACTGACACGAGCACTTTTGGTGCGCAGAACACTAGGGGGCACATCACTGCTCCCGACCAAGGCATTAAGAGTCATTCCGTCCCAGCGTGGGGTGACTACCGGATGCCATTCTGACAACCTAGGGGCGCAGTCACCTGGTCCATACGGAGACCCTAAGAGGGTCGTATCATATATTGGTCCCAACCTGACGCAGGAGGCTCCCTGACCCGGCAGTTGGCCCCAGATCAACGCAGGAGCTTTCATTGACGTAATAAGATTCCCTACCGCCGCAGGCAATCCATTAATTGGTACAGAGACACCAGACAGACATCTTAGCGGGTCATTGACTGAAATGGGCGGAAGACTTCCAGTTCGGCACTGGGAGCCCTTTCTTCCACTAATAGGGACGGTACTACGGATTTTGAGTTGGGGAGCAGGGTTTTTCGGAGGA